CGTGTTAGCTAGCTATATCGCCCGATAGTAAATAACCCAATTCGAATTGCTAGCTAGGTATATCGGGTAGTATATTGAGTTAGCTAGCTAGATCGCCCGATAGTCGATATTTTTTTTCTCCTTGGGACCTATCTGTAAAAAGAGCGCAAAAAGATAATTAAAATTAACAAAGTTATACGAATTAGAAGTCCAAAGAGCATAAAATCGTTTCCAATTGCCCCAGTTTACTCTAAATCTCTCATAAAGCATATTTTTTCCCTATAATAGAACATGTCTGAAATTATGCAATTGTAAAAACTAGAAGTATTTTGATCGCTTTTTCGAATGGAGGATGATAAATTATCTTTCGGTCTACTTTTTAATCAGATATTCTTAAAATTTTTATTAGTTTCAGAAACACAGTTGATTAGATTTAATTAATGATTTTTGATACTGAACCAATTTCGTCGTTTTGTTAAAAAGCATTTTTTGAAACAGCACTCAGTTATCTGCAAATTCACATTACAGGATATCCGTGCAGTTTCCATGAAGACTCAAAAGAAAGGAGGTTTTATTCTCACAGAACTAAGTTAACCGGAGGTTGAACGATGAGATCAGTTAGATAAGTCCATTGTGATAATTTTCTATATTCTCGGAAGAAATGAATCAGCTCTTAAGTTCAGAACTCACTGAAAACATGTTTATTAACATCGTTTCATAATAGAATATGGGTGCGAGTTTATAAAGCAAAACAACTTTTCTTTTCTTTTCGCTTCTATTACTTGAACTCTTCAACGTGAGTAAGAGAAATTGATCAAGCAACACAACAGTGAACGACTAATATTTCTGCAATGGGTGGAAACAGATATTTAAGTTTGTTGTTTTACTGGACAGTTTGTCGGTTAACTGTAGTGGTAAAACTGTAATAATATCTTTGTAAGTGTAAAACTGTAACATTAACAGTTTTAGTTTTATAGTTAATTGTAACTGGTGTTTGACTAATGCTAAGTATTCTCATAAGCCTAATTGGTTTTCATCTCAGATCAGTGGATATTTTTAAATATGGTGAGGTTCATTCGATGGATAGTAAGCATTTCGTCAAATGGATGGAAGAAACTGTTAGAACGTTACGAGCTGAAAGCTGCCAAAATTGCCATTTTAATCGCGACACAATAAATTAACGGCAAAATCAGAACCGCCAAAACGAGCATGGTGTAAAGGTCAAGCTGCGGACTGGTTAGCAGCCAGAAGAGTTAGATTTGAGCCTTCTAAGTCAAAAGCAGAGCTGTTTGCGAATTTTTCACCTCATCGATTCATTGTTGATCAAGTAGCTCTCAAACACGATATTGGAATAGTCCGTAACAGAATGAATGGTTGTCAGCTTTAGGTCCTGAATATACTACTGGATATTTTAAACATGTCCAGAAACATGAAGAAATATTTCAGGCAGCTGATCGATTAGCAGAAGAACTCGAAAATGAACTTGTAGTCTCTGATAATGAAACTTCGGCAGCATGGGACGACAAAGAAGAAGAGAATGTATGAAACGACTCTTAACTCAAATCATAAAACACATTTTTATTCGTTTTTCATTATATTCCAAGCAAGACTGTGACACTCCGCCACTGAATGAAATCCTAACTACAAATAAACATCGCCACGTTCATTAGCGTATCCGAAAACCCATATGCCGATTGCTTTTATATAAACAGAAAAAGTATCAGTTAGAGTGTCTCTCAGAGATCCGAGCCAGCTCATTGACGCTAAAAGGTAGAAAAGTGGGACTTGTGTGGATTTGTAGAGGAAGATTTGGTACTTTTCATCTGTAATAGCTTAGATAATTTACCATGTCATTTTCCTTTGATATAATGACCTAGGCCTCATTTGTGTAAAATTACTATTCTTATTTCTTTTTCTTGAATGAATAAAGTTTAAATTAACTAAGGTTCAAACTATGGTAGGTTTCAGGGTCAAACTATGGTTCAAAGCCCCTAGAGAGCATAAAAAAAGTTTTTTTCGGTCTTTTGGAACCTTCTCTTTCAACGACTGATGTGGCTTACCACCTGCAGGTGGTGCACCCGATCGAACATTTATGTGTTTATGTCCTAAAGTCTTGGCTACACAATGCTGAAAACCGCAACCTGTCTCATTTCTGACAAAGTTTATTAAGAAAACAACCAAATACACGATGTTTTGGCGCCGATAATAGTAAAAGAGCTCATATTAGTTCTCTGAAAGACCCAAGTACAATGACTTTTAACAGTGTGAAGGACATTCATAAAGGGTAAACGATTTCTGACACAGACACCCACGTTCTTGCAAAAACGAAAAAAGAAACACCTAAGCTCAACATTTCCGGAATGGCTTTGCGTGGGCATAGTTTTAAAAAACTTTTTTTATAGCTCATTCTGAAGCTCGGAAATGTCTTTGTCTTTCTATGTGTAAGTTCGAGTTAAGAAGTTAGAACTTATGGGAAAAGCGTGGAATAGAGGGTGGATGCTGTTGTTTAGAACGCTAATGAAAAATTGTACGCCATTTCTCTTTGATGTTTTTCAGAAGAAGCTTTGGAAGTTTGAAGAGGTTCTAAGCGCAAAGCATTTCCGATAATCTTAGACTATTGTGCCAGCATTAATACAATTTTATTCGAAAATATAATAACATTTAGGTTGTAGAGTGTAATCAAATAATCTACTGTTTGCTATACAGAATGGAAATGCCTCAAGAATTCTTCGAGTTTTCATACTTCAATTCAATTTGCACAGGAAACAGCTCGAAGAATGATTAAATACAGTGGTATGAGTAGAAATGAGAATCGTTTCTTTGGGCTTCGAATTATTTGAAATACTTCGCCTCTATGACAGTAATACTCACACTCGTTTTTATAAAAACGAAGCCTCAGTTTCAGGCTTTCAGAATTTGTATTTGGTTTTGTTCAAACGTGCTTTGGTCAAATAAAGTGAGAAATGATCTTCATAACGAAATGATATCAATTTCGCCGGTCTGAAAGGACAAGATTGCATTGAGTATAATTCCATCTTGTATGATTTTTATCAGAAGGATTCCTTTCAGATATTATATTCCTTCTCAACTACAACTCATGCAAGGTATCTACTCGTCTTTTCATCGAAGAAAAAATCATAAAAAATCGAATATTTATTTTAGTTTGCTAGCTGAGTAAACCAATTTTTTTGTTTTTCATTCAGCACATGAATTTTCTTTTTGTTCTACTCCATTCTAGTCAGACACAGACTAATTTTTGATGAAAGAATTTCAATGTTAACTCCAGTATAAGGCGACCCAGTCTTTATAGTGTAAGTAAATAAATGTCTGTAGTAACTATGTGAGAAGAGAACGGAAAAATATGTTTGACGACGAGACACATATAAAGAACGGGAAGAGAACCATTTATTCACGTGTCTGTCATATTTCATGGATGGAGGTGTAACGGTTTTTAAGTTAAGTAACTGATCTCCCGTCTCGGAATATACGACTTTAGCCTCAAAGGACACTTTATTATAACCGCCTTCTACTTAACAGGAACAAGAACTCACACACACTGTAAAATACCTCACGAATTATATACAAGAATGAGAAAGAGAGCGAAGAGAAAACATGGAAAATAATAGATATATATATGCAAGGTGCCGGGCGGTAATTCAAAATTTCAGCAGAATTTAGTTCCTTTTTATTTATACATGTTTGGAAAAAGCTCATCGGGTTATATCGAGTAAAACTGAGTTTATGTGTTGCGGAACATTTAGATAACTTTGAATGTCGAGTAAAAATGCCGAGTTTGCAAATTGTTAAGGAAATCAAACTCATTTTTTAACGTTGATTTCAAAAATGACATTATTTTTGTCGAAAAGTTGAATTTTGATAGAGCAAACGGCAAAATATGAGGTAAATTTCATTGTTTTTTCACCGCTTTCGAAAAACATTGAATTTCTGAGCAACGAAACAAAGCTTGCCAAAAAGGACATTTAACTTTTTTCTCATGAGTATAATGAATATAATCGAGCGAAAATACGTTATATCTTCTAAGTACAGAGACCTGATGTGTTTGCGAGCAGCTCGGGGATATTTTTCGGATTCTCCTCATGTCTGATGTACTCATCAACCATTTTAAGTTCTACTAGTGTCAAATCAGATTTCTTATATTCAATTTTAAATGAAGCATCGGTATTTAATGGTTTGAGAACATGAAGAGAAAAGAAAGACCGAACATTTAACTTGTTTTTGAAAAATTAAAGGTTTTTAACCAATTTCAATTTGAATTTCAAATTTGAATATTCTAAATATTTCGCTAAAATACTTTCTTTTAGAAAGCTAAAAACAACATTTTTCTATATAACTCGGTGAGCTCTATTCAACCATGCATAAATAAAACAAAAATACTTTGCATTGCCGACACCTTAAATATATTACTAATTAACTATCTATCGAATAGAAAGAGGCAATTAAGGGAAGATGATTCATCCTTTACATGACGTTCCCCTTTTTACAAAATTCTTGTGTCTGAATATTTCAAACAAAATTAATTTCGCATTTTTTTCTTGGATTTTACTATATTTTCGAGAAAAAGTTCTTGAGTTTACCATGACAACATTCGTCGACGATATAATGATATCTGATCTATATACATGCATCATGTTAATGATCAGCAGTTTTTGAAGAAATTCTATTATTCTAACCAGATCGCGATTAAGTCAATATCTATAAGTTACAGATATCGGCTCGGGCACGGCATATAACTCTGCTGCGCCAATATAATCATGTTCTTCTATGATTCTCAAATGAGGACACGACCGCAGATTTTTGTAATGTCTCGTACTAAAGAAAAAAAGTGTGTCGAATATTTGAAGACTTTCGTACACTAAATGTGTTTTCATACCTTGAAGCAGCATTGAATAGAAGTGGATTCGATGAGAAAATGTTTTTTGAACGAGGCGGAAAGTATGAATGGACAAAGAATGTGGATGTTAACGACTGGTAAAGAGGAAAGGCATGCGAATAATCAAGACAAGTATACACCTCGTATTTCTAGTGTAAATCGTTTTATTTCTTTTTTCAACTCACTGTAGAGTCAAAACGTTTACTGTTTTTATGTTTAAATAGTTTATATATTACATGACCATAATCGAAATTCATTGTCTTGCATAACTTTAGTTTCTGAAATCGGAATAGAGACAAATGCAAGTAGAACAAGTAGTCGTGGTCAACAATCCAAACGACAATATTCTCTCAATGTCCAATGTCACATCATAGAGAATCAAAGAGACATGAAAAAAGAAACGACTATTTCACTGTTATGTCGGCAGTGATGCGTTTCTACTTGGTCTGAGCGAAAACTAAGTCAAGTTATTTATTTCCAGCTAATAATACAGTCTCATCTTGGCGCGATTTTGACAAGAAGTTTGAAACTTAACGCGAGACTGATAGCGCGATCGAATAAGCGATAAGCTACGACCCATGCACCCAATAGAGACCCCTACATTAGATATACGACGGACCGGACAAATGTCCGATGTTTGACTCGAGCATGTTCCACTCGGACACTGTTTGATTCGGACACTGTATGACTCAAACAGTGTTTTACTCTGACACTACCCGAGTCGGACCTGTTCGAACGGAACATTCAAACACTGATCGACTTTTTTCAAATGCTATTTTCTCTCATTAATTTACAGCTGTTTTTTAGGCGTCTAAAATTGTAGGTGAATTGAATACCCTTAGATAATTTTAATACTGATAATAATAAAGCACCTGTACTAATATCAATACCCATTCCAACACTATTTGGTAAGTCAACTGGTTCAGATTCAGATGATGATTTGAATTTTTTACTAGCAACATTAACCTTACTACCACTACCACCAGGACAAAGCATACCGTTAAAACCAACAATTGGACATAGAGCAGTTGTATATATGATCAAATCATGTCAGTAATCACAATACAAATTAAGCTTTGTTTGTTTCCCTTACTATTTAAGGGTAACAAAAATCAGCATTTCTTTTTTTTTAAAAGTTTATTTACGTAGAAAACAACACTCCACGCGGCATTTATTCTTTTCTTTCTTTTTCTCGATCTATTTATAATAATTACTCATCATTTATCGCTATGTTTGTCAGTAGGATTACATAGTAAAACTTTCATGGCTATATAATCTCTGTAGGAGTTCAGTTTGATCAAGCGTATAAACTGACGCAGATGAGGCACATGTGGCCAGCGCAAGTAAAACTACCGTATAAAAATGTTTGCTTAAATAGTATTTTTAACGATTATCAATGTGGATCAGCAATACGCTTTTTTTCCATTCTGTCTCATCTACGGCGGCCATTGTCACATCGACAATATTCAAAAATTAAACTTTTTTCTCAGAATTAAAAGTTTCTTCATTTTGTCGACTTATTTTAGTATCCAAGAAACATATCCTCGACTAATCAATTTATCCCATATTCCACAGAATATAAACGTTTAGAATTCATCCATCTATCATCAATACCTTCAGTCTTTAAAATATTCTGAATAATCAACGGAGCACCCATCATCGTTAGGCGGCCTCGATTATACCAGCAGGGACACATTTAATGATCAAATGTCTGCATTTGTTACTCATGTTATTTTTTATTCGGTGAGTTCTGTCATTAGTTCTGCATTGCGTTGGTAAACTGAATTAAACATCATGGATTTGTTCAATAAGTTAATGGGTGTGTATGCTCATAACTTACTTACATACACACATTATTAGTAATGATTTTTGGTTTACTCAAGAACGAAAAGAGCAGACGACATGAAAATTTTCATTTCTTCCAACTGGAAGAAGCAGCCACTGCGAGCATGTAGTGCCAATGAGGCCTGCATTGTGACGTGTGTCACCAGACTAGGATTTAAACGCAGGACCATGGCATTCTGTGTCTATGCTCTAATCACTGAGCTACCTGGTCGATATCTCTGCCCATCACAGCATGCACCTACTACACAATGGGCATCCAGACAGACTTTTGGCAAAAAATTGAAGGTGGTCTTCTTTCCGATTCAAATAATTCGCAGCTCAGGAACATGTTTAGCCTAAAGCAAGGTAACGTCTGGAATTACCACGTTTACCAGTTTTTTCCCTAAAGCCTCCTACAGATCACATTGTCAACAAACTGTGTCCAGAACTACGTCTGTCTAGGGTCGTAAATTGCAGAGGCGTGGACACCCACCCCTCAAAAATAAAAATTTGTTCTTTCCTCCCAGCGAAAATTAAAATTTGTTTTTCGCTATTTTTGGTCGCATAGTGAAAATGTTTTTCTTACACCGCCCAAAAACTATTTTTACACTCCCCCAAAGTTAACATCCTATTTACGGCCCTGGGTCTGTCAACAGCAAAGCTACTTCTCTCGCATTTCGCATTCATTTTTCAGTGCATTTTGTTAATTCAGTTAATTATTTTTCACTTTTTTACTTCATTAGATGGACTTTTCATTGCTGACAACATGCCTCTTCTACTTAATTAATGGACAGGGTTAATTTCTTGTATTTTGAAGAGGTCACTATCTAATTCTCTCCACGTTTCACGAACATAATCAAAAAGTTTATTATTAGTATACATCAATTCATCGAACGTTAAGTCATCTTCTAACAAAAATTTATCTAGAGGAAGATAAATTGCTACAGCTAGTCAGTACACGGCCTGGCCAGCTAACTCTACCTGCGCATGTAATTCTGTGACGTTTTTGATGATTTTGCTTTATTTGCAGAAATTTTTGAAAAAGTCAGAACTCAAAAGTAAATAAACCATTTTGTAGACAATTTGATTCTCTATCGACTGACCTGATTTTGAAACATTTTAGTGAAAATCTCTTGGTTAGGAAATTCAAAACACTGAGAGCTATTTTTTGCATATCTTTTCTATAAATTTAGTAAAGCGGCTCTCAGTGTTTTGAATTTCCTAACCAAGAAATTTTCGCTAAAACGTTTCAAAATCAGGTCAGTCGATAGAGAATCAAATTGTCTACAAAATGGTTTATTTACTTTTGAGTTCTGACTTTTTCAAAAATTTCTGCAAATAAAGCAAAATCATCAAAAACGTCACGGAATTACATACGCAGGTAGAGTTAGCTGGCCAGGCCGTACAGCAGTGTTGCGTTAACTATGCATATGTCCTCTTGCAATCTCAGGCGTGTTTTAAGATCCCGATCTAGAAACGCTAAGGTCATTTTTCAAATCATGGACAAGCAGTATTAGAGCCAGATGCCGAGATAACTATAAAAAGCGTTACTCTGAGTTGAAATAAATAAATATAGCTATCCGTACACACAGTTAAATAAATGCATAAAAACGTAGGAAGTAAACTCTCTTCTGCTATACGGTTTGGCCAAATGTTACGGAATTTCGTTTTTTCGTCTTCTGTGCCCCTTATCTCGGCAAAGAAGTAACTTATATCAATGAAATCTATACCAATGATGGATATTAGGGAGTTCTACTACAAAAAATAATTTCAGCTTGAATGAACAACCAGATCAAAAGTTATACGATTAGTAAATGAAAAATTGAAATATAATCACTATGAATCTGCACTTTAAACCGCTTCAAAAAAATGCTAGAATCTTTTATGTGAATAGCCATGATTAGCTACATATTAAACTACTACATATCTTTTCTGTTTCCAGTAGACTAATGGGAGGAGTCGTCTTGACATCTTGGCTGTTGTAAGGCATAGCCGCGCTTTAAACAGTTGAACGATACTGGACTGAATGTTTTTGTTGGCATTCAACAAATTCTTTTTCTTGCATACATTCTACGAAACGTACTCTAGGAAATGTACTTTTGAAGGTTTCCAGATATAACGTCATTGCAAGAAAAATTCGTTTACAAGTATTGCACCAAAGCGAAGATCTTGCCGCAAAAAACTATTCAGCCTTGTCAAAAAATTGTTTTTTCAGACTTTTTCTGCATTAGTCGATTTTCTCGATCCACTGTTGAAACCTTTTGAAGATTTCAATCATTTGTCCATTGAAATCCAAGATGTTTTTTACCTCTAAGTTGTGACAGTCCTTTTAGAGCGAAAACCTATTGATCTTGAAAAAAATTAAGATTTCAAGGAAAGAAACAGTTGCACACAACGAATAATTAAAATTTTATTTTATCTTTCATTAGAATAGCCATATAAATTTACAAAATGGACTCTATGTATCTCTTCAGTTTTGCTCATGGTTCGTGGCGATTTTGCGTTCTGTTCTGATCAGATTTAGTTGACGATGAATATTAAAACCATGCGATCCATTTTCTTTTGTCATCAAGAGCACACGCATTTTTTTATGTTTGTCTGACATAGATATTCTACCCACATTTTTGTTAAATTAGACTATATAAATGCACAGAAAGCAAACTTGCATTGGAATTTATTTCGACCTTTTTAAACACCATTCGATAGAAGAGATAGTGTTGATCACGAATATGTGTTTCTCGATTTTTTTGACACTCTTTTCGGTCGGAATAATGAGAGGGTGTTTCAAAAAAATAGCCTTAGTCCTTTTGCGTTAGGGTTTCAATGCTTAAAACAAAGCTTTTTGGGTTCAGTATCTAAAACTGAATTGGGAAATGGTCCTGAAACATTTTTAGAACCAAACGTCTATTCTCAAAAAATTTTGCAATGTGCATCGCTCAAAGACGGCACCCAATGTTGCCAATCTATCACAGGTTTCCCTAGCAGTAGCAGAGCCAATATTTTCACGCGTTACATTCGCTAGATGCTGAACTTCAAACCTAAACGAACAGTCTTTTAAAATTCTATTTGGTTGCTGAGAAAAATCATTTTGTTCGAAATGAGAGGAGAAAAAGTCGAAATTCTGCCCGTATATGGATACAGAGAACAATGTTCAGTTCTTTTGAATAGTGACCACTACAAGCTTTTGCTTTCCGGCCTATTTTTTGCTGGTGATGGGTACATAGTTTATAGCTGATTAAACCAAAGTGAAATATACAGTTGTGCTTGACACAACGCACGAAGCGACGGAGAAACGAAGGAAAGTATTGAGACAAATCCTATTGATCGAACACAAGATCGACTATGTTGAACATGAGCGAGTCCAACTGAGACTCGAGTCCCAGCTGGAAGATTTCTTGGCGGACTCGGACTGGAGATTTTTCTAAAGGACTCGGACTTGAGTTTTTGTATTTCGAGTCCGATCGATTCAAGTTATAACATAAATGAACACTAAATTTTTTTCTTTATTTTTATTGTTCAGAGTTCAATGCGAT